GAAGGCATGGCTGGTGACTGGAACGCAAGGTGAGTGGCGATTTTCATGGGAGTTCTTCATCCACGGCTGTTGAACAGAGAGGGGTCGTTTCGGCACCCTTGCCCCGGACATGGTTATCCCATTCTCCCGACCGAGTGGGTAGGGGGTGCTCGCTTTGGGTGTCCCCCGGGAAAATGTGGGCCTCATGGAGTTCTTCCACAAAGGGTGGTAAACGCCCGTGTGCCAAGTTCTTTTCTAGAGCTGGCAGAGGTTCCAGCCTCCCTTGTAGCTTGCCACGTTGCTTGAAACTGACTGGATTCAGAAGGCCAGAGCTCCAAGCCTCGCCTCTGGAAGGCTTGGCTGCGATCGATGAGAGCTTCTCTCAAGCCTGCATCCCATGCTGGTGCTGCTGGAGCCTCAGATCAGCCACGGGAAGCTTCATCACTGTGGATGTCAACGGTGTTTCCACCCGCCATCTAAAAGACATGCCCTATAAATCCTCAGAAGCCTACAGGTCAGTTGGACCTCATTTGACTGGAGTTGATCATACAAAACCACAAATTCAATGAGGATCATGAGGTCAAGGACCAGGTTTTTAAATGGGTCTTTGGACCTCTATGGACAGGTCAGTGGACAGGTAGTTGGACCCTCCCAACCCACCCCCCACACCGAAAACCATGAGGCGCAGAGCTCACTCCACCCTGAACACCCCGAATGCCGGAGAATGGGTGCGCTCGGACTCCTCCCAAGCCACCTCGTCCCAAGCCACCCCCACGGCCATCCCAGCGGAACGACTCAGCGCCTGTGGAGGCTGTTGCGGAAGTCGCTTGGCCATGCCCAACAACTGCATTGACACCTACATCAAGTTCCTCTGGTGTGAGTGACCCTGGTGGAAGGGTGACACCGAGCGGAGCGAGCGAGGGGACCTGGTTCCGCAGGTCGGGACGCAGTGACCGGAAGAGGTCACGTAGATGTTCCCTTCTTCTCAACTTCGGGAAGACAGAAAGAAGAGTGAGAGAGAGAGAGAGTAGTCAGTCCCCCCCCCAATGCAACCATCACACTCTGAGGAAAACTGGAAGATGATGGCACCACCTAAGCCTTGGTCTTCGGAACATGGTCGTCCGAACTCGGGGCGTGGCCATGCCATCCACGTCAGGGTGGATCTGCCCTAAGATTGTTGGGTTTCTATGGCAGGGGTCGGACCCGACACCTACACGCAGGGTTCCGGACCCGAACCAAGCTCTTTCTCAATTGAAGGCCCGGATTCTTAGGGTGGAACAAAGCATCCGAGCCATCCGAGTGTCCAACCGCACGTCCAGGTACTTCTTCCACACGGGGATCCCCTCGGTGGAAGCGGGGCTTTGCCCGGGCTCCGGCGGTTGCGGGGCGACGGAGTCGTGGTGTTTTGGGGAAGAAGGCGACCCAAAAGCCATCCCTCCAAGCCCAAACGTACTGGTTCCGAGAACAACAGCTGGAAGCTGAAAGCTACGTTGGGGTTGTAGAGGAAAAAGCGGTTTTCCAAAGGTCTAGTCTTCCTGGGTGTATTCCAGAGCTAAAAGGAAGGAGCTGCTGGCTCCTTCAGCGCCCAGATAAGGGAGGTCCCTCCAGAGCTAGAAAGAAGGGGCTGCAACAAGAGAACGCAAGGGCGATGAGCAAGGTCTTCGATTCGTCTTCGTTGCCACATGACTTCTTCCCATGATGACTCTACGGTTGTTTGCCCCCCGCCACAAACAAAAGGACCAAAACACCATGCCCCGAGCTTACATGGACCCAGCCATTCGCTCAAAATGACCCAGCCAGCATTACTCGCTCCAAAGGACCCACACCGTCGCTCGCTCGCTTGGATCTTCCATGCCCGACAGCGCTTGGACTTGTCACTGTTCGTCCCCGTGGTCGTTTGGTCGTGTGAACTGCTGGTCCGAGGCCTACACATGGTGAATTGCTGGTGCTGCTACTCCCTCTGCCTCTTGACATGGAAGAACATAGTATTGGTGGAAGAGAGAGGTCAGAACTTGTTTCTTCGAGCCAAAGCCCCCAACACCCCTAGTTTTGTCGGGTTCCTAATGTATTCCCATATACATGCTCCCTTAATTGTCAACCGGCAAGATCCGGAATATCCAACGGCGGAAGGGCACTTGTTTGGATCCGCTTCTCCCATTCAATTTTAAGACCATCATCTGTCTACAAACATGTTCATCTCAAGGCGTGACACCGCCCCACAGTTTTCTTTTCCCCCAATGTCTGGCACATCCAAGATCTCAAAAGTTCGTTCTCGTGACGAGAAGGACCCCAACACATGGGACACAGCATGGCAACACTTCAGTAACTCAATGATATTCTAAGTGCACTTGGACCTTTGTCATGGCGTTTGTGCTGACCTTTCCAATCTGCCAGGATCACTAGAACGATCTTTGATCCCCGAAAGCTTCATCCGCAAAGGCCCCAGCTGCTCCCAGGCAAGTGCCCACCCACTGTGCGGCACAACCCGCTTTGCGCCTGTTGTGGCCGCCAGCGGATTGAGAAGAGTTGAGGCCCGGCGGGTAGAACTCGCGCGGCCGGGACGAACGCGGTTGAAGCACGAGCAGTGGAAGCACGAGCCGCGCATCGAAGCACTTGGTTCTTTTCTTTCAAATTATATATATATATATGTATATTTTAGTCGGATTGGCTGTGCTGGTGTTTTTCAATCAAAGCACCCTTTCTCCTTCTCACGGACCGAGACCGGGACCCAGAAGCGCTCGTTGGAGCACATGGAGAACACCGGCTGGGTGGGCATCTTTTGGGGGACAGGGGCCGGCCCCTGGAGCCCCCAAACTCTGACCTTGTTTGGGTTGACTTCGAGCCGTGAAGCTGGTCTAAAATCGTCCATTGACTGTATTAGGTTCCGACCCACATGGATAGAACAGTAGATCCCCACGTTCAGGTATGGGAAAGCGTGGACTCCTCTCTATTTTGGGGACCACTTCTTTTTGGGCTTCGTGGTTTTGGAGGCCAAGAGCACGTCTTGACGTGTTGCGGACCGTGGCTCGAAAGCCCGTCCGTGCTGTTTTCAGGTCAACGTGATGCTGGGACAGGTCAGCTGGTGAGAAGTGAAGCGAACTGTGGGAGGGGAGGAGGACTTGATGAAATTGAATGACATTGACATGTTTTGGACACTGATATGATATGAACATGATATGCATATGCAACGCATCATATGCATATTAATGTTTGATTCATATCAGATCACTTCATATTTTACCCAGAATCACAATCGAAGTGATACGAAGCGACACTTTTCTTGACCTCTCAATCACTGCAACCACTCAAACTATTGACTCTCAAAACAGGGGTTGGAAGGGTTGACAGTAGACCGACAGTATATAGACCTTCGGGGTGTCCATGAGCACCTCACACTGACTGGAGGGTGTTCTTCCGGTGTCAACAACGACCCAAGAGGCCTGGAAAGTGCAGTGCCTGGAATCACATGCAGATGGCACTGACCCCAGGATGCATCGTTCTCCCCCCGCCAATCAACTAGGGATTCTTAGGGCTTAACCCCCTGAGCAAACTTTGTCCCTTGTTTTTGGCTGATGTGAATAGCTACACGGCTGGATGTGCACAAGCCAACCCCGTCCTGCACTTGTAGGAAAGAAACCGCACGTGGCTGCACTGTACTGCAGGCTCTTTGCCGTTCGACAGGTGTAGCCGCTGCAGCCCTTTTTTTGTACAGCTTGCATGAGACCTGGGCAGCCCAGTGAAGTTCAGTCAGGGAGTCTGAGAGTTTTCAGGGGCCAGATCTAGCCACCATGTGACAGTCTACCTAAAGCTCGAAAGGCCCAACATCCAGAACATCCAGAACATTTGTGACGACTAGACAGAGGAGAGGCTCCCTGACTGGAGGGCGCCCAGACGACTTTCCCCAAATAATTATTGGCTCCTTCCGACTTTCACCACCCTTTTCAGAGCACGGTCCCCTCGGTCCCGACGGCAAGGACAGCGGAGCTGCGTAATAAATGGGACACGTCCTTCCGGGTGCTGCGTCGAGGGACGGACGTTCCAAGAAAGAAGACCTCCAGGGCCTGGATCCTGCTGGTCCCTTGCACTTGGACGTGGGTGACATCACGAACACAAACGAAATCCCCCCTTCACCCTCCTCGAAGGGGACGAGCTTCGCGGCGTTTTTTGAGGACGCGAAGAAACAGGAAGATCTGGACCATCCGGAGCATTGGTGTGCTGGAAAAAAGAGGTCCCAGATACTAGTGGCTGGTAGTCCAGCCAGGACACCCAGTCGTGACGGTCCTGGAAGAGACTTAGTCCTTAACTTCTCGGCAGAAACCAAATCCCTTGTTCTGTCAAAAACCAGAGGCCAACAGCCTGAAGGCCCTTGGGCCGAAGGTGGTGGATGGAGCGAATGGCCTTGGGGTGCTTCCCTTGCCCTCCTCCAAGGGGAGCGGCGCGGAGACGAGACATGGTGGGCAAAAGAAAGGGTTCTTTGGCGATGAGTGGGCTGCGCCTGCCGCGGCTGTCACAGCCGTGCTCAAAAGCACCGGAAAGAATTGTCATGTTTCAGTCTCAAACAGACTATGTTTAGTTTGTTATTGTTCCGAAATAGAGACGCACCATCCAGCTCGAAATGACTCGACTTGTTCATCAAGACTTTAATCCTTGGGCGCGTCCAGTGTTGAGTGTGTTGAGGATGCAGGAGTGTAGCTTTGATGAGAGGATCCGGAGCTACTCCGAACACTTATGTGAAAGTTCTTTTTGTTTTGCATCGATGCATTTTGATAGTCCCTTCTGTGCAGTGAGCGCAGAGCTCCTCTCCGCTGCTAGCCATCTGTGTGCCTCAAGCATTTTGCGAGGCACTAGAGGCAGAAGACGACAGGAAAGTAAGAGACTACGGTAGGTGGTTTGAGGTCGGCCCTGGCCCTTAATATAGGCCAAAAAAAGGGCGGTTTGGGCGTCTGGTGGATCTTCAACTCCACAAACTTGCACTGGTTCCATGCAATCAGCAGATTCCAGATTTGTCACGATCCAGTGTTGCTGTTTGGTTACGTTGTGTTCAAACACGTTACCGCTCCTTTTGGCCAGCCATGCAGTCCAGCGCTAGCTGCCCGGTGTTGCCACCGGTGCCGGCGCAGGTGAGAGCTGCACAGCAGCGGGGGCAAAGGGAAGCTGCCAAACGAAAGGAGTGGCTTGGTTTGGAAGATGAGGGATATTCGAGCCCTGGGGTCCCTGCATTGAAGCCAGAGGTCCGTTCTCCTCAGAGCTGCGGATGCTGGGGGAAGCTTTGAATCCTAGGGCTTTGAAGCTCTTCATCCTAGGGCTGAGACGTGAAGTTGTTCGATTTCGGAGAATTCTCGACTGGCGACTCTGGGTGAACTCAGATTCCATTCTCCTCTACAATCTTCTTCCCCCAAACAGCTGGGTGGTTCACCCCCAGATACAGATGCAGGCCGACCGGGTGCAGACAAAGGAGGGTTTCAGGCCCCGGACCGTCGCCGTCTCAAAGCTCGCTGACCAAGAACACGATCCGAGCATAGCTGAGAGGAGTTCTGGGCCATTCTGGGCCCCATCCCACAGGCCCGCAGGTGCACCTCGACTTCGACCCTTCGACCCATCAACCAGTCGACCCTTCGACCCCAGTCGACCCAGACAGCGAAGCCCTGAGGTTCCTTGGGGGTCTGATCAATCAGGATCCGAGCGTGGCGCCTGCTGGGACCGTTGGGACGTTGGCACGAAGAACGCGCGGTCGTAGGGAACAAGGGCACCGGCACTGGAACATTCGTGTCAGTGAACCTCTGTGGACTCCGAAGTTCTTTACAATCCGGAGTGGGAACTGGATGATGATGATGATGATGATGATGATGACGATGATGGATGTTATATTGATGTTATCAAAGTTGTAAAGGCTGAAGTCAATGTTTGTGAATGATCAATACTTTCTCAGAAGGTAGTTGGAACCCAAACACCTTCTCAGGAGGGAGATGGAGCCAGGGATGGTAGATGTTTGGGCTAAAGACACCCGCTCCACTTTGGCTTTGGCGCCTTTTTTGTTTCGTGCTCCACCGCACAGGACCTACAGAAGCTGACCCATTGGCATGGCATGCGCCCCACGCACGAGCAAAAGCGCTTCTTGCGAGCCTGGGCGTTGCTGGTGGGGTAAGAACCCTGAACAAGGTAATCGTCGTTCAGAAAGAATCTTTCCCGTGTATGCTTTTTGCGATGTGCCAGCCCCACACGGTGGAAGGAGGGAGGCGACCTTGTGAGGTTTTTTTTTCGCTATCGGGAATTGGTGGTTCATGAACTCTGCGGTGGCTCATTTTTTTGGTGGATCTCATGCGGATGCTTCATTAGATGCGCGGTAGTTCATCATGGGTGGCATCATGGGTGGCATCATGGCATCTGTGAGTGTGTTCGAAGGTAAATCTTTGCTCCAAGCGATGAATAAAACCTATCTCCAGGCCCTGGGTGTCTTGATTCATCCGTCTACACGACTTTCCTCCGCAGCGAGGAAGTTTGGACTGCCTCTACAAAGCTTATGATTCAGCCTCAGCACCTCAGGTGGGGTGGCAAACTGGAACGAAGGGGTTCCAGCTTTCTCAGCTTTCTGGTGGTGGACTTAAGAGGTTCTTTTTCAAGGTGTTCCTTCTGCGCATTTTCCTTTGCAACCTGTCCGTCCTGTTGGCAAGAGATGCGGTTTATGATGTCTTATGCGACGTCACGGAACGATCGTTGTTGTAGTTCCCGCCTTTGTGATCCGTCACCGTCCAGCCTTTCAGAACACGTCGCAGCAAGATCACCGTCTCACAGGGTGCGACCGTACCCTTTTCCAAGCAGTTGGCACACGTGGTCGAATCAAAGGGGACGTCTCCAGATATTCCATTTATTCGAGCAAAGGCGACCCAAAGCGATACGCAGAATGAGTGTCTACCATCCAAAGTCTTTTATTTGGCTTGGTAGGTGAAGAATGGTGAAGACTTGGATTCTTTCGTTCATGGGTGTTGTCTCCAAAGCACCCTGCCAGGGCCCCTGATCAGGTAACAGATGGTTGTGACGTGCTTCAGTTTGCAACGTCGGTGACTTGTGCTCCACCCGAAGATCAACTGGATGATCATTGGCGTAACCACTTCACTGGCAGGCACCTCCACGTCGGCCGACGGAAGGGGAGAAGCTGCAGCAGGCAGCTTTGGAGGCAGAACATGCCAAGAAGGTTGAGGAGGCCCGGCCTTTTCGCGAAATCGGGGCAGGTGGCTGTGGTTTCCATGCCTCAGCAGGTATAGACCTGCCTTACATAGACCTAAGAGGTGGGTGGAAGCCCTTCAGATCCCTTGCGAAACCATTGTTGGGTCGTCCGGGCTGAAAGAACACCTGCAGAACTCGCTTTTGGCTTTTGGCTTCTACAGGCACGATCCTAGATGAAAGGATCTACATCCAATCTTTCCTGGGAGATATTCACTTCTAATGATCTAATCTTCTTCATTCTCCAGCCAGGGACGATTCCAGACGCTGAAAGCGCGTCTATTTCTATTTTTTGAACGACAACTTTGAGAGGGAATGCGTCAGAATTCTCTATCTTTTCGTTTTGAATGCAGGTCCAGGTAGGAAGACACCTGTGAATTCACATGTCGACGATGGATCACAACTGCCCCTTGATTCGCAATACGCTCTCACAGGTATACGCTCAGATGAACGGAAGACGCTCAGACACCCTGAAAGCTTGACCTGCCGTTTCCGTTTGAGGGACGTTTGGTGTCCCCCCCAACTTCAGCACCGCACCTCCTTTGTGGTGCTCGTGCTGCGCCCCCCGTGAAGGCCTCTGGGTGGTCAATCTGCCATGACCGAAACTGGGTGTTGTGTTCTAAATAGGGAGAGACCCCCTAGCCCAATGATGCCCTATGGGTCTATTTCCCTTCTTCCAGGGAGGTTTCCCTTTTTGAGCTACATATCCCATCTCTCCAGCATTCCACTTCCCAATGCCACCACGCGAAAAGAGAGGCCATGCAGCGCCGCGCAGAGGAGGACCCGCTTGCAGGCGCCATGCTGGGAATGGGCGTGGCCGTCACTACTGCTCCAATGAATTGGTGTGGCAAGAATTTCGGGCGGTTCAATGTTCTAAATCTAAATTACCAAAAGTACATTGTGCCAGCACCGTGGGTTCCAAATCTGCGCTGCACCGATATTCCCCAAAAGTAGCTTGATCGCCTTTTTAAAAATTGAACATGTAATCCTGTTGTGCACCCTTCAACAGTCAAGAGCCAGCTATCCCAGAAACAGCTCGACAAGAAATGAGAAAGGACTAGAACCACAATCCTCCACGACCAACTGACGTCCTTTACAAAATGACTTTTGCACACCTCTACATTCATAAACACGTATTGTGTTGGAAGCTGGAAGCTTGCAAAACACGGAGCGAGTCTGTGGAGAGGTCAATTCACCAAACACTTCGGCTACAAACATGTAGGATGTAGCTGACTCAAGCTTGGACGTCATGATGAGTGGTTCTGCCTTTCTTTTGAACGCATGTGTTGATCAATGAAGACCATCAAGTCGTGAGAAAACCAATTTTGTACAAACCCAGACCCAGACCTTGTGAGCGCCTCTCACGAAGGTTTTTCGTATTTTCCCATGCACCAGGAACCATCAAAAGCTCTGGAAACTACACCGGCATAGACCCCGGATAGGAACTAAAGTTTTAAAGACAAAAAGTATGTGGGACAAACATCCATCGAGTAGCCAAATAAAACCAGAAAAGCGGGGAGACAAGTCAGGAGACGTAGCAGTGGCAAACAAAACCAGTGGAGAGACAAGTTGGGGAACAAGTAAGGAGTCAGGAGACAAGGCGGCATCAGCAGCAGACATTAAAAAGCCAACCAGACAGGCAGACAAGTGTGGAGACAGGGCCAAGGAGACTGCGACAGACATCTAAGCCGATCAGCCAGACAAACAAGTGCAGAAACAAGTAAGGAGACAGGTAGACAAGTAAGGGAACGCAAGTGAGGACATTTGGGGAGACAAGTAAGGAGACAAGGCAACAGGGGCAGACAAAACGACGATCACTCAGGCAACCAACTGGGGAGACATTTGAGGAGACCAGTGGGGAGACAAGGCAGAAGTGGCGACGGGATACAGGCGCCCAGTCATTGAGGAGTCAGAAACCCCATATCTTTCAGCTGATTGGGGAATATCTGGGGAGACCTGTAAGGAGACAAGTCAGCGGCACAGTAGCGAACTCTCCTCAAGGTCCTCAAGGGAGATGAACCACAGATGGATCAGCATGTTCTAGCTGTGTAGAGTCATTGACTACAAGACCACGGAGCGCATTGATAGGTCATCGCAAGGGAATTCAGGTCTTTTGGTCGGTTTAATCCAGGGTCCCCATCCAACCGGGGTGTCCAATAAGGGGTGATCTCGGGTGATTACCATGAAGCACCCAGCCGTGGCATCTTGCTCCGGTGCTGAAACGAGCCACCGCCACTTTGGGCCGTCTCAGGACCACCTCGCAGCCCGCGCAGTGGGGTGCAAGGTGCCACTGAGGATCTGCCGAAGGAGCCCATTGAGGTGCGAGTACACAGGGGACCGGCGCAGGACCTAGACAGGCAAGCGAGTATGTGGAAGATCGATCTGTAGGTCCCAAAAAAGCTGGAGTCGCCAAGGGAGGGGTAGGTATAGGGGAGTTTTCTCTTTCAATTTGGGAGGAAGAACCCAGCTGTGATCGGCCGGCGTGTTTCCATCTGGAAAAAGACCAACAAGACCAAGTCCATTCATGTGCATTCACTTGGGACACTTGACTCACGCTTTGTTGGCCAGGTCTTCGAGCAAAAGAAGCGCCAGAAGCTGCGGAAGAAATTGGACCCCACAGCGGAGGATCCTAATAGCCTGCTGGAGTGGTTGGAAGGCCTGCAGTGACAAGGCTTACAAAGGATCACCTCCCATGAACCACTGCAAAGCTATCACAGTCATGGAGTAGAGGAACATACTTTTCCAATCCAGGTGTGGGCTACTTGCATGCAGATGTTGCAGTTGCCAGGTCAAAGCCTGACCTCTCATAGCACGGCCACAACGGCGAGCAGCCAGCGAACGCGCTTTACAGATCTCAGTATGACCTCCTTAGCTTCCTCAATTTGCAGCCATCCCGGCACCTTAGTCCACGCGCCTTGGATTCTGAGTTTGATGGGTTCGGTACAGGATCCAGAAGGATGCAGGTCGGATGACTGAATGGCCAGAATATATTCTATTATTATAAGTTGAAACCACTATTTGTTTGAATGTTCCTAGAACATCCAATGATTGTCCTGGCTGGAGATCCCTGTAAACAGTAGATATAGTAGGGTATATATAGATCCATTGGACACCCTTTGGATGGTCCTGGTGGATTTTCTGGATGCTTTGGATTTCAGGTGGCCGGATCTGGTGGTCAAGCCCTTCCTTTCCCGACTCCGACGGATTCTCCCGGAGTGGAGTTGTCTGAATTGCCGCTACGACACCCTAAAACTGGTTTGTTTCTTCACCGTGTCGGACTCACGGATTCCTCAGTCCCCGATGTAGCGGGGATCATGCCAGTGCCACCCGTCGACCGGATGAGCGGCAGAAGGGGGCGTCCTGAGGAGAGTTATCGACCCCACAAGCGCGCCTATGCGGTGAACATCAACGACTGGAAGCCCGTGAACCAGCACGAAGCAGGAGTGTCAGATCGTCAGCCGCTTGGCGTGTCGGTCAAGTAGCAAGTAGGTAGGCTCAGGAGTACATGTGGAACCTTCTGGACATCTAAACAGTAGAACGGATTGCTCCCAACTCAACCAGTCAAGTCTGTTTTTGAACCTTTGGACCCCACATGAACAGAATCAAGTGCATAGCATCTAGCTCAGGATTTTCCCTAAACATGGATTAGACCCCTTCGCAGCCGAATTTCATCCCCACACCTCCCCGCACCTCGACACCCTCGGTTTCCCCTGCCTTTTGTGCAGACTTCTGTAACGTGTCCATTCAATTGTTAAAACTTTGAGAGACTGAGGTGTTCAACGTACGATTCAGTCACCAATTTCTCCCTACGCAAAGGGTCAGCTTCCCTTCACTGCCAATTTTGGATGCCGAAGGACTCGAAGGGAAGGACATGTGCTGCATCCGTTTTGGGCATGCTTTTGGGATCGAAGACGGCACCTGTCGTTCCATTATCTTCTGTTCACCCCCGGTGTCTTCAGACGCAGCGGTTGCTGAAGACGCAGCGTCGTTCAAAAGACCCTGAGATGAACAACTCCCGACCTCGCTCGACCGAAGGTCGCTCTCTCTCTCTCTCTCTCGCTCTCTGCCTCCCGCTTGGAGCGACTTCCGTTCCGGCCGGCTTTGTGGGCTCCGGTGGTTGGAACCGACCGCCTCTCCTTGCTCCGTCACGACTGGTTGGTGTTCGGCCGGGCCGGGAGGAGCCATGAAGGATGGCATTCCCAGCCTGGGATGGCCACATGGCGAACGGATGGTCACCAGCTTCCAGGACCGTCAAACGCTTGCGGAGAAGCGGAGAAGTGACTCCAGTCCATGGGGATGGGAAGAAGAATGGCTCATGAGGTGAGGGCAGCCTGAGACCTGCAGGGAAATCTACCAAGCAACGTCCAGTGGTGAAGAGGGGAGTAGTACTGACAGTACTGAGAGTACCGGTTGTTGTTGCTGGTGGATTCATGGACTTCGAAACACTCGATCCTTGCCCATGGTGGGCTCACAAGTCATGATTCAATATTGATTCAAAAAGACTAGTGGCAGGCCCTTGGAATCATCTCCCAGTCTGGGGGTTGTTGACCATTTTCTTGAAGCTTCCGATCGGGTGGCTTGGTGATGCCAGCAGATGCCCCACAGGAGCAATTCGGCACGGCTTCGGCGGGGGTGCGGAACATCAGCAAGAAGATGTACGAGAAGGCACTGTGCTTTGGTAGACAGCAACGTGGGGTTTGCGAGACAGGTCTTGTGCGTGGTGTACATTTACTGTACCGGACGGATGCCGGGCTGATACAACGCGTTGGCATTGCCAGGTCTTGCGCCCCGAGCAGCATGCCTTCATCAGCAGGCGGAGCTGGGATAGAAGATGAACAGCTCTCAAGCAGGCGACTTCTCATTAACCTCCCATCTCTAAAGAGCAAACTCGTTGTGTCGCTTTCTGTAGATCGTCCTCTGCCCACTCGGGAACAGGAACTCATTTCGACTGAGTGCGCAGATGTGGTTTTAGAAATTTGTCGCTTGTCAATGGATCTAAACTGATCCCATAACAACCCCATTGTAACCTGGACTGATCTAAATGGATCTAAACTGACAAACATCACTTACCTGGACCATCACCCTTACCCCCTCATGTGGCTTCCCGTCCATCGGTCCATGGATTCCGTGGTACCATCTCCAGGTTCCTCAGCGAGGCACCCGTGGAGCAGCGCGAGCAATTCACCGGCTTGGCCTGGGGCGCTCAGCGATGGACCATGGCACCGTTTTGGAAGAGAGGCCTACAACTAAGAAGGCTGAAATCCCATGAACTCCCAAGGTCACCTCGCTTTTTATTATGGAGTGTCTGGTGAGTGATCCCTTGCCACCTAGAGTGGTTCAGTTTCAGGGGATATGAAGGGTGGAGACACCGAAAGAAACATGGAAACTGCCATCAGAGCTAGCTTGGATGAAGTTCCTTTGCCAGATGTGGTCCACCACTTGATATGTATGCTCTTCCTGGAGTTGTATCCATCAAACCAATCCGAAACCGGTCTTTCTTTTTCGAAGCACTTCGAACCTCCCATGGCCCTTGCGGTCTTGGTGCGGCCTCCCCTAACAACTTCGGCCTCCTTCGGTCTAGGTGCGGTCCTTGGAGTATTTGCGCCTGCAAAAGCACAGGCCCCGCGACTGGCGAGCGCGAGACACGGGGTCACCGGGGTCGTTTTGGACCGACTCGGGGGTCGTTTGGTCGTGTAAATGGGAGCGTTTTGGGAGGGTGAAACTTTGTGGAATGGCCAGAAGACATGGATCTTGCCTCGTTTTTTGGGCAAGATCCATGTCAATGGATTGCACTTGAAGGAATGAGGCAGGTTAATGCAGGTCATGCAGGATCATGCAGGTTTTCTCAAGCATATCAGCATGTGGAACATCTGGGTGCCAAAGTTGCCACATCCGCCCACGTCCTGGCATAAGAATAGCGTGAAGATCACGGGTCGATGAAAGGAGGCTTCTTCTTCCGCCTGATCTTATGTTCAACCTGGAGGGTCTGCATGGGTTGCAGGGGGTTCTCACCAGATCTTTTCTTAGTTGTAGTAGAGTAGTCACAGCGCCAATCTAATTATTATACAACAAAAATACCATGTCCAAAGAAAGCGATGCAAGCCCATGTCAAGTGGAACGGGCTTTTCTGGGCTGGACAAAAGTTTGTCTGACATTTGGATGGGTCCCACATGCAAAAAGTTCGGGGAGAAAGCAGCTCTTACAAGCGAGGCTTGGAGAGCTTACAGGACCCTATAGAGAGGAATTTATGGACATATGGCCAAAGGTTCCCCAAACAGTGTGGGCACACTGAGGGGTTCTTACGGTAGGTGAAAAGCAGGTGTGCTTAGTTCGCTGTGCATCGCGGCGTGTCCGGCTAATTCGTTGCTATTTACAGTACATTCATGCCTCGCGACATCGTCCATGTGCACTTCGACTGCGCAGGCTCACGAAGTCTGGGGGCCGGCGGCGGGTGCTTCTAGCGACTGCGCTCTCGTTGTGGTGCCGTGCGCGTTTTGGTACATGGTGGTCACTTTTCGTGGCAGGTGCAAGGGAAAGGTGCAAGGGATCGGAGCTGTTTTACTTCGAAATGCAGTTTTCGTGGATGTTGGTGATCGTCGAGGAGCTCAGATTTCGTGACAGGTGCAGGGAGTCGTGACTTTTGGATTGTGGCTCGTTTGCAGATTTTGTGGCAGGCACAGCGCATGGTGAACCTCGAAGTGCAGATTTCGTGGCAGGCATGTGAACCTCGAAGTGCAGATTTCGTGGCAGGCACAGCACTTGGTGAACGAAGTGCAGATTTCGTGGCAGGCACAGCACCTTGTGAACCTCGAAGTGCAGATTTCATGGCAGGCACAGCGCATGGTGAACCTCGAAGTGCAGATTTCGTGGCAGGCACAGCACCTTGTGAACCTCGAAGTGGAGATTTCGTGGCAGGCACAGCGCATGGCGAACCTCGAAGTGGAGATTTCGTGGCAGGCACAGCACTTTGTGAACCTCGATGTGCAGGTTTTGTGGCAGGCACAGCACTTTGTGAACCTCGAAGTGCAGATTTCGTGGCAGTCACAGCACTTTGTGAACCTCGAAGTGCACATTTCGTGGCAGGCACAGCACTTGGTGAACCTCGAAGTGGAGATTTCGTGGCAGGCACAGCACTTGGTGAACCTCGAA